GCGATGTCATTGGCTTTTGATTGACATTAAACATAATATCCACGATGTTTTACACTATCTCTTACTAATAACCAAAAATGTACTTTTTTTGTTCAGATTCTCAATTTATAATATCATTATAATTATAACATTCAATAAATAAATTACTTATTTTATCTGCAAATATTGTCTAAACATTTGGTTATAATTGACAGATCATTAAGGGCATATTAAGATTTCAATAGATTTCATGTTAGAAAATGTTATTAACTAATGAAAACCATAAAGTAGTCAATCATATTTATACAGTAATTGGAAAGTTTTGTCCCTTAAGATGTCATCAAATGGTAAAAATAATGTTTTTTATCAATGACAAACATATTTGACAATAATAATTATTTTTCTCAGTCAGACGTCGTTATGATAATTCGTGTCAAGAAGTTTGCATAACAAACACAAAAGTTTATAAATGCTTTAGTTGTGACTCGAGTCACGAATTGATTATTTGTAAGAAATGTTTCATTAATGGCAAACATTATGGACATCACTATAAAGAGATCACTAAAAGTAATGGACTCTGTAATTGTGGTGATTTCAATGGATTAGTTCACTGTGCAGACCATCAAAAATGCTACTCAAGGGATATATCAAAAGCATTGTATTTGAATGATTCTGTACGCAAAGAATTTGCTGAATTAACTGGCATTCAGTACAATGAGATCAAAGTGTTGTCGCTTTTAAATCAATTGACAGCTTTATTGAGTCATTCATCGGAAGCAAACTTCGTAAAGAAGTACTTCGACAGCAGTCGTGGTAAAGTGGATGGACACAGAGATGTTAGACTCATAAAGTCTTATAGTGTTTATCGTAAAGATCACGAGAAAAGGTTTGTTGAGTGCGGTTATGATCGACTCAATAGACAACTCTTATGGCACGGAACCAAATGTGCGAATTTGGACGGAATTCTTAGGGATGGCTTCGTGTTGTCATTCAAAGACAACTTATTATTTGGAAATGGAGTCTATTTTTCCGATAGAGTGACCAATAGTTGCAATTATAGCGACCAAACTAACTATGGGTTTCTATTGCTGTGTGAGGTGTCAACGGGGGTCATGTAAGACACTTCTTATGTGTTTAACTCATTATGACTTTAGTTTTACTGATTTGTGTCATATCCTATAGATTTAAGACAGAATATCCCAAACAATACATGGAGGCACCGGATCGTTACGATAGTGTACAGGGAATCGGCAAATATATACCAGAACCCAATACTAGTATACTATATGATGACATAGAAGTACCCCTCGGAAACACTATCGTTAATAAACACAAAAAGACATCACTTTCTGAATTAGATTTCAACGAATATGTAGTTTTCAATCCACATAAAGTTCTCATTAAATTCATCGTTCAATTTGAATGGCTATGAGATTGAAATGAACATGGTCATTCAATAGATTTTGTAATTGACATCATTATTAATTCATGAATAGTTTGCTATTGATTAATTCAGTTATTAATTAACATTTTTTAATTCCTAAAACATTTATTACTAAAAATTTGAAATAAAACTAATAATTTAATTGATTGACTGAATCTGTGGATACTTTTAGTTGTATTTGGTATTCACGAGTGGATCCCAGGTCCTTAATATAATACATATGTATATGAATATATGGTATTCATAAACTGATGAACCAGTTGAATAATAAACAGTAAGAATATGAATGACAAGAATTCATACGGAAATAAACTTTCATTAATTCATAAATGGGTTGAATTTACCACTAATTCTGTGGCGAACCTAAATGTATGGCTTATTCATTGTGATTACATTATGAAGTGAGCGGCGAATGTATGAATAGTGGAGTGGAAATGTATGTCTAAAAATGAAAGGATTAATAGATTGAACGGTTAGGTCTATCGCAGACATTCCTCATACATTGATCGCTCACTTCATAGACAATGACAATGACTGGCAAATGTAGACAAAGGTGTTCAATATATTGCATTAATTGTGATGACAATATGGGCTGCAAAGCTATAAACAGATTGCAGAAATCAATGGACGTGTATAAATAGTGCATGAATTGGCTACCCTGGCTAAACATTACTGTATAATATACAGTGTATATAATAACTAAAGAATAAATGAGTATTCATAGACTGTATTCAAAAAGTGTATTATATTCTTGCATTCATTTCATATACAGATAATTTACTATTAGTTTTGGTCAAAAGTTTTAATTTGAAAAATAGTTAAACATATTTAGTGATCAAAATGAAGAGTTTCTTAATGATAAGTTTTGTATTGTAATATACATTGAGATTCAATGGACGATTCAGTGATTTCGCAAAACTAGAGATAATTGGAAACTTCTATTCGAGAGTCGGATATAAATTATATGATATAACCATTAGATTAATTAATCAATAATTAAATTAACATTAAAAAGTTTATATTCAAAATAATAGTAATTAGACAATGGACTCGATTCTTATGTAACTTTGATTTTAGATCATTAGACTTTAAGCACTGGTATGTCTGCACCAGAATACAGGTACAAAAATTTGATATAAATTAAAAATACTGTAAATATTAAATATAAACAAAATTTATATCATTTCTAAATCCTTTGCAAATAATTTTAATTTATTAATTATTGAAATGTGTGTACGGTACATATCTACGGTATTTATTATAGAAGTACGATATTTTGTTTAAAAAATTATAAATTTAAAACATACCTAATAGTGTGGTTTTCAGATAAATTTCCAAACTATTAGATGTCCAATAAATTTGTTAAAATTTGTAAATATTTATTGCATACCTAATAGTTTGTTTTATTTTTAATAATTAAATTACAAATAAATGTCCAAACTTTAGATATTTAATAAATTTGTTAAAATATATATACAAAGTAAGTTTAGTGTAAATATAATAGTATGGATAATAGTTCCATAATAATAAGCAAAATATTTTGGAATCGATTGTTAAATTTAAAAATAATTATCAAAATGAAATCCATAATTATTCCGATAAGTAAATACCGTATTCTCGCACATCCACTGGCATGCCGTTATAAATGAGATTGATCATTTTTACAAAATTATAAGGCATTTATATAGCAAAATATTAATATATTTTAAAATATTAAAAATCATAATTTACACCTCACTTATGTGTACACCCCGTTACACCCGGGGTATATCGGCAGTCTCATCAACCTCACTTTATACTTGCATGCCAGTGGATGTGCGGGAATACGGTATTAATAATACTGTATATTATATTATGATATTATATTATTTTTCAATTAACTATATTAATATAAAATTTAATATTTAATTTAGCGAGATCGTTAATATTGACCAAAGTGGGTGTAATTGTGAATTTAAATCTACACGTACTTTAACAGATATTGGTGAACGGACTACTATATTGGTAGTAAATTCTAAAAATGACTGCACACATTCTTATACAATATTACCTATATTTATGAAAACTGGAAAATTTTATCCTAAAATCCTAATATGTTTTCAAGAAACATATTTTTCTGAAGGTGATTTAGGGGTACGGGTTGTAAAAAACATTGATGACTACGATAATATAATATACACATGTAGTAAATCGGGAAATATGACAAAATCACGCATGATGTTTTGGTAAATACTATAAATTTTAGCATGTTT